GGAAGTCGTCGACATAGAAATTATTCGCGACGCTAGCTGACATCGAGGCTGGGAAAATGTGTCCGTGTTGCGAAGCTGTCCGCCGGAGTGCGTAGTTTGCGCAGAAGGGAGAAGAAACCGCTCTAAATGGATGAGCGGTCAGCCTATAGTCTACCACTGAATTCTGCAAGTTACCATCAAGCCACCATAGTAATCGCGGTCACCCTCCATTGAAAATTCTGCCACCAATGCAGATTTCAAAATCCCATAATCTAGAGCTTGATTTCTTTCCAAATTCAAGTCGTAAGCGGCCCTCGCTCGTCCGGTGAGCAGTGCCCCCAATGTGGTGACCATGTACGCATTCTCTTTGATGCCGTTACACGATGCGAATAATTCAAAATCGCGAATCCACTTCTCCACATCTCCGTCTGCAAACGCGTTTGGCCAGGGTAGCTTCATTGCGTTGTGCTAACTTGGGCGACAACATAACTGTAACGAGAAGGCGAGCTAGCTGGGAAAACGACTATTGATCCAATTCAAAAACAAACAGTGTATGCGTTCGATTATATACAGTCAATTCTCAACCGCGCGGCGGGATGATTCATGCCACTTTCTGTGGGTCATTCCTTGTTGGTCTTGGTCCGCACTTGGCACGTGCGTTGCCTCTTCTTCCGCGTGCCATTCCGACTGATTTGACCCAATCGCGGCGCGAGATGCGTTGATCGACAGCTACGACGTCCTGGCATTTGGTGGGTATCTTTCCCGTTAGTTGCGGATTGTCTGTCTGGCTGTAATTGTCGATTCGTTCGTTTGTCTCGCGAGACACTTCTCGCCGCTGTGTCTGCGCGTCTGGTCGGATGAGCCCAATTCTTGCTTCGGTCGCTAACCAGGACTCTCTTTGAACTGCCTTTCATCACAATAGGTAACATTATATATATATTCTGAAACAGTTTAAAGGTAAATATCGGTTTGTTACATGTTTTTATAGGTATTTATCCGTTTATCATTGCATATATTCCTATTTGTGCCTAGCTAAGACTAACACTATTCCATCTTATCCCATTGCTGTATATATTTTATTAGTATTTGTACTCTTTAATCATGTTCTCTGAGCTCACTGAGTCCTTTGACGAGGACACGTTACGCCACGCCACATGAGGTGTTCAAACCAACTACTAGGCTAGCACTCAAATAACATTTGAAGAGGCTCTAGTCGCCCTTAGTCTGCATCGATCGATAATACACGTACTGCGAGGGAAAGTCGTGGCACTAGATGACAACATAAGTCACCTGACAGCGCTATTTAAGGATAACTTTCTAGTTTGTGCTGCCGCAGGCCAGGCGATCACATTATAGAAACAACATATATTCAACACTGCAGTCAAACTAGAATCAGCGGCCAAACGGATTATAATTTAGGATAGTTTCTTCAAGTTCAATTGTCCGGTTCAGTCAACCAAAACCCTCTTGAAAAGCCTTACAGCTCCATCCCTACCCAAACCAATCGGAGCGTCGTGGCTGATGTCGAAATCAAAGAAGACAAAGGTGGGCATCCTTATCACCTTCAACTCGGAATCAGCGATTGGAGACGCTCTCAACCAAACCGAGGTTCTGAAAAGAGCATGCAACCTTGTACGGGGAGTTTTCCTAGACAGGCCACTTCACACCCGAACTCAGCGGAAGGAAGCCCTAAAAAGAAACAAGGATGTCAGCGATCCCAAACTCCACTGTCTGCCAGTAATCCCCGTCTCGCGAGTAGACCAGCAATCGACGACAACCTCTTCACCTCCCAAGACGCGACAATCTTCCAGGGCCTCAAGCACATCCGCAAAACAGGTCGTGCAGCACCTGTCACTTAGTTACTAAAGTAGGGGACAGTGGAAAATCCCTGGTGATAATCTTTCTTGATATGACTAAGGCGTTTGACCGTGTTTCTCACACGCGGCTCATCACCAAACTGCAAACTTTTGGTATCAAACCCCTATCCTGAATTGGTTCTCCTCCTTCCTCTACAATCGCACCCAGTCCGTGTGTGTTGATGGATACTTCTCCTTACCTACCCTCGTTACTAGTGGAGTAGTCCAAGGCAGCGTCCTGGGTCCCCTTCTATTCCTCATGTGCATTACTGATATCTTCCCCATTATCCATCATGGTACATCCTTTTTATTTGCGGATGGTATAAAATAGTTCACCAGTTCCAACCTCATGAAATTAATCATATTATTACGTTAAAACAAAATGACCTTGTCAGACTTAATCAATCGTGCCGCACATGGAACACGGAGTTCTCGGCAACTGAGATTACTTTTATGAAGGTTCAATGCCATATTCCCCCCAATCTTTCCTAAAACATGAAACACCTATCACCAACAACCCCGCAGTAGATGAACTTGAAATACACTACTCTAAAAATTCGAACTGATTTGCTACATACTTTTATAATTATTGCGAAACATCTCTCCTTACTTAATATATCTATATCTGATTCCATTTACATAAGACTCCATTGGCTCCGCTCCGTGGCATATGCCAACCAGTTAGCAGTGTCCACTTTCTCAACCAAATTTATATCACTACACGGATTCAGCTTCGATGCTGGAGCTGTGGAACATAACCTATTTCGGTACATAATTGATGAGTATTGTGAGTCATCTCACCTGAAAATATAATTCTAATTCAGTTTTCATCCGAATCCATTGGCTCCATTCCTTGGCAAATGTTTATAAGATAGCAGTGTCCACTTTCGCAACCGATTTCATATCAGAACACCAATCCAGCTTCGATGCTGGATCTGTGGAACACAACTGAATTTGGTACCTACTTTCATACGTAATGTGACCCACTTTCCCTTGAGTTATATACATATATGATACCGTTTATTTCCCATAACATTTGTCCAACATCCTGGCACATGCTAACTTTGTAGCAATGTCCACTTCCTCAACCAAATTAATATCAATGCACGGATCAAGCTTCGATGCTGGATCTGTGGAACACAACTGAATTTGGTACCTACTTTCATACGTAATTTGACCCACTTTCCCTTGAGTTATATACATATATGATACCGTTTATTTCCCATAACATTTGTCCAACATCCTGGCACATGCTAACTTTGTAGCAATGTCCACTTCCTCAACCAAATTAATATCAATGCACGGATCAAGCTTCGATGCTGGATCTGTGGAACACAACCGAATTTCGTACCTAATTTATTAAGACTTGAGGCCCATCTCTCCTTACTTTATATATATATATGTATATATATATATCTGATTCCGTTTTCCTCCGTCTCCATTGGTTCTATTCTTGTTTACATGCTCACCAAGGAGCAGTGTCCACTTTCGCAACCGATTTCATATCAGTACACGGATCAAGCTTCGAAGCTGCATCTGTGGAACACAACCGAATTTGGTGCCTACTATATTAGGACTTGTGACCCATCTCTCCTTGCGTTACATATATATCTGATTCCGTTTCCATCCAAATCAATTGGCCCAACCACGTGGCTTATGCTTACCAAGTAGCAGTGTCCAATGTCGCAACAGATTGCATACCAGTACACGATCCAGCACCGATGATGGATCTGTGGAACACAACCTAATTTGGTACATGCTTATGTACGTATTGTGACGCATTTCTCGTTACTTTTTCATAAATAGCCGATTCCGTTTCCGTCCGACTCAATCGGCCCAACCACGTGGCACATGCTTACCAAGTAGCAGTGTCTATCATCGCAACCGATTTCATATCAGGACACGGATCAAGCTTCGAAGCTGGATCTGTGGAACACAACCTAATTTGATACATCCTTTCATCAGTATTCTGACTTATCTCTCCTTAATTTTTGTATATCTCAATCAGCTTTCATCCGACTCATTTGGTTCCGATCCGTGCCAAATTCTTACAAGATAGCGGTGTCCACTTTAACAACCGACTTCATATCAGTACACGGATCCAGCTTCGAAGCTGCATCTGTGGAACACAACATTATTTGGTACCTACTTTATTAGGACTTGTGACCCATCCCTTCTAACGTTACGTTTATATCTGATTCCGTTTCCATCCAAATCAATTGGCCCAACCACGTGGCTTATGCTTACCAAGTAGCAGTGTCCAATGTCGCAACAGATTGCATACCAGTACACGATCCAGCACCGATGATGGATCTGTGGAACACAACCTAATTTGGTACATGCTTATGTACGTATTGTGACGCATTTCTCGTTACTTTTTCATAAATAGCCGATTCCGTTTCCATGGGACTCAATTGGCCCAACCACGTGGCTTATGCTTACCAAGTAGCAGTGTCCAATGTCGCAACAGATTGCATACCAGTACACGATCCAGCACCGATGATGGATCTGTGGAACACAACCTAATTTGATACATGTTTTCTTCTGTATTGAGACATAATATCCTCTAGCTCGTTTTCCTGCGCTCCGGTTTTTCACTGACTCCATTGTCTCTTTTTCGTGGCACATACTTACCAAGTAGCTGTTTGTATTCTATCAACTTATGTTCCACCATTACGGTTATCCGCCACCCTTTTGGTTCTGCAGTACTAGACATTCGGACAACATCGTTTCACCAGTATTATGACCTCAGCACCCTGATTGATTAGAATTTCTCGTTGGCTTCCCGCTATTTTTTTCCCTTATCCCTTCTCAGCTGGGCTGCAACCCAGACTGCCAATGCACGCCTTTCTATTCTATATCCGGTTGGTTTGGGCCTGACGAAGGCTTGGGAGCTACACCCACAATGAACAATTTGGCACGGGCAATGGTTGTTGGGCGCGGCTGTATTCACCGCTTTGACTACATGCGTGCACATTCCGGACCAGGTGAGGAACGCACCCCCTGCCTCACCTACAAGGTGTTTTAAGGTTGGGTGCCTAGTGTCTAATTAGTCCCACATCAAAGCGATCACCTACATGGTGTTTTAAGGTTAGGTGCCTAGCGTCTAGTCAGTCCCACATCAAAGCGACCAACCGCCTAAATAACGTAAATAACCCAAATCAATCCACTGCTGATCGGAGCCCCTGAAACCATCGAACAAGACCCTTCAGAACTCATCTGTTTCACAACGTGAAGTGCATACATATATTCCATGACAGTTTCACTTTGTTGTGCTTCACCCTATCCGCTCTTGTGCCGGTTTCCGTCCAACGACCTGCATGCCACCTCTTGTTATTTTACTCACTGCTTGTCGTGTTTCCGATCATCCCACCATTCATACGGTATAACGATTCTTGTTTTTTGTCTTACTTCCACCGACTTGCTCTCTTAGAGCATTCCGCCATCCTCAACCTTTTCTTATCTGATACCTCGTCCAATCTGTGTTCCATTTGTAATTATGTTCACCGCGACCTTCAATTTTTCCCCCTTTTGGGCCTCTTCTGTACGGAGGATAATGTTTTACATTTGATCATGCCTATGCATGCCTCACGGGGCTCCGTGAAATATACACTTATTATTATTATTATTATTAACTTCTCCGAACATGTCTCCTTTCAAATTTCAGAAGCCAAAAGAAGCATTAGCTTCATAAATAGGTCTCTTATACTTCCTGAATCTAAGCTGCTTTCTTAAGTCTCTTTCGTAAAACCATGCTTGGAATATTGCCCAATAATATTTTCTGGCACCCGTTAAACCGATAAAATAGCCTTGAAAAATGTCCAACGATCTTTTACTAAACGTTCACTAGGATATAATTCCCAGCTTAACTATAAGGATCGATGGACCGTCCTCAACATAGAACCCATATGGCTTCGTTGCATGAAACTAAACCTCTGGTTACTACATAGGAAACTCCACCACCGCATGTTTTCTTTCTTGAGTGAACTATGCACATTTTCGACCTCTACATATTCCTTGCGTAATAGTAGTTCCCGACTACTGATCCCCAGATCTCGCCTCTCCCTCCGATCCAACTTCTTCCTGATAAAATACGCTAGGCAATGGAATCTACTTCCCGCTGAGATCCGCAGATGCGCTTCAGCGATTAAATTCCAAATGATGCTCCAGGAATTCCTAAAAGTGGAAAATGCGCTTTCCATGAGAGGTGTGAACCTCCTAACTGAAGAAGGATTTCAGACAGGTTCACACTATTAGTAAACCACATCCACACCACTGAATATGACCGTAATACCAGTAAGCCAAGTAGTTGTGAACATGGATTCCACTTCTCAGCTGAACCTGTAAAACAAAAAGGTTCCAGTACATACTCCCAAGTGCACAGTGACCGATTCCGCCATAATCCAAATACTTCCCATATTGTTATCATCATACTTATTTGGCTCAACTCATTAGTACATGATAACCAGGCAGCTGTGTTCACTTCCTTAACCCAATTCTTATCAGTATATGGATTCAGCTTTAAAGCAGGATTTGTACAACAGAAGTATTTCCGGTACATATTTGAACACGTATTAAGACTGAATACTCCAAAATGGAAATTCTTAGTGCGCCGTTTGTGTATGCACCCGCATTACCTTCCAGATTTTCGTCCTTTCATGTCAATCCCTATGATACACCGCAGTTCATTTTCCCTCAGCACATATATATATTAATGTATGTTTATATATATATATATGTATATATATGTATATTCGTGCACCTTCGGGCATTAAACCTCTCTGCATATTCGTTCGCAACATACTTTCTCGTCCCCCCCCCTACGCTTATCAGTTGGGTATTCCTCCAGACTGCCAAGTTTAGCCTTTTTGTTTCAGATTCGGTTGGCTTGGGCCTGCCGAAAGCCTGTGTTTTGCACTCGAACCTGAATATTACTTCAAGACTTCAATACATCTATTAGTCCTGAGCGCCCTTTCCTAAGACGTGATACAGCACCTCACATTCTTCCTTTCAGACATAACCTATTGACTCGCATTGTTGGAAGCCACAAGATCAGCCAACAACACATTCATCTGGACGCACGATTGCCCCGGGATACACAACGTCCTGTGCAAACTGAACTGAACTGAACTGCAACCGGGTCGCGTAACAGCGACTCTGTGCAGCAGGTGGTTGTCCTAGACACCTTCAGTACTTAGGTGAGCGAAAGTCTTTCGACCGCATCCTCCTGGATGCCAAAAGAGCTTTTGAGCTTTCTCTGCCCAAGAAAGCATAGCGCTCTCCTAAGGCCTACTACGGGTATGTTCAGTCTGAGTCCAAAACAAGGGAAGCAGTCGGCTGTCTCAGGCAAAAGGACAGCACTCCCGCCACGACAAACTCCTAGAAGGCCATCGCCTTGTGTGAACACTTCCAAAGTGTACAGACGAAGGATGAGGGCATTCTGCGACCCATGCCAGCAGGATCCACGCTGATGGAGGAAATCCTTTTCCTTCCGGAGGAGGTGGAAAAGACCCTGGTCATTTTAGATGGGGGCAAAGCGGCGGGACTGGATGAACTCCGCCCGGCACTGCTTAGGCCTCTAGAGAGTATCCTGGCGGCCCCCTTAGCTCACCCCTGCAATTTGTCCATGGCAACAGCCACATTGCCACAGGACTGGAAAGTAGCTACTGTGGCCCCATCCACAAAGGGGGCGACAGTGAGCTGGCCACTAACTATAGGTCCTTTAGCTTACTCTCCTAGATCCTAAAGGTCATGAAAAGGTTAATCAGAGATAGGATGGCCAGCTACCTCACCCAGTGTGGCCTGCTGGCGGAGGCTAAGCACGGGTTTCGTAAAGGCCATTCTTGCCTCACGAATTTGCTAGCCTTCCTGGATGTAGTGACTGAGCGGCTGGACAGAGGGGAGGAAGTCGAAGTCTACTATCTTCACTTCAGTAAGGCTTTTGACTCCGTAAACCATCGGCTGCTGCTAGGCAATCTAGGATCGATAAGGATCCACCCTAGTTTAGTCAGGTGGATTGAGAGCTACCTAACAGTGAGAACCTTTAGCGTAAGGGTGGAGGGGGATTGGTCGGACTGCGGGCACGCATATAGTGGGGTCCCACGAAGCTCGGCCCTTGGGCCATTGTTGTTTCTTATCTTCAACAATGATCTAGTCCACCGTCTATCAAACCCGACGTTCATCTTTGCAGACGACATTAAACTCTTTGGCTCGCATCGGGTTGTAGACCTTCAGCTTGACCTAGATGCAGTGCAAGTTTAGTCTGCAGAGTGGGGTCTCCCTGTAAATGCAGCGAAGTGTAAGGTTTTACGAGCCGGGAGTGCTTAGGGGGCTGGGCCACGCTACATAGGAGCTCGATACGGAGAGGCTACGGCAGCAGTGCCGGAGATCAGGGACCTGGGGGTCACTCTGAACTCCGCTTTTAACTCCTCTGCCCAGTGTCTTGCTGCGGCACGTACGGCCAATAGAGCGTTGTTCATGTTGAAGCGCACAGTGACGTCCAGGGATCCTGTCGTGCTAGTCCCGCTCTACGTGGCTTTCGTTCGGCCGCACCTAGAGTACCGTGTACAAGCTTCATCCTCAGCTAAGAAGAAGGACCAAAGGGTTCTGGAAAGGGTGCAGAGGAAGTTCACGCGCATGTTCCCGC